AAAAAAAAAAAAAAAAACTAAACTAGTATATTATAAGTATACAACCGATTTAGTACATGCATATGTGTTGTATAATATTATATGTATAGTTACATAAAGCGGAGTATATTAGGGGATCATGCTACACATAATTTTATATTTAGAGTATATTATTGGTATATAACAGGATAATGATACACTAACAAAAAAAAAAAATAACTAAACTAGTATATTATCAGTATATAACAGGCGTATTATATGTATATGTGTTGTATTTTACTATATGTTGAGTGCACGGCTTCAAAAGCACCCACTCTATTTTCTTTTTTCTTTTTTTCTCCGTTTTTTCAGGTGGTATATGTTCGTGGAAACAAAAAAGAAAGATCAACACAACACATTTTTTTTTGTGGTATATGTTCTGGAAAGAAAAACGGCTGTATCAATGAAAAACGCCCACTTCTGCGTATCAATGAATCTTGTATCAATGAATCTTGTTTATATATATATAAAAAAAATGAATCTTGTATCCCATGTTCGGGAAAGAAAAACGCCCACTTCTGTATTTTTTTTTTCTGTGTGTATCATTGATCTTGTTTTTTCAAATTCAAATATGATTCTTTCCATCTGCAATTCGGAAATCGTGCGCTATAAACATGAAATAGGCTTGACAAATAGCTGTAACTTATTTTAGGCATGAATGCAAATAATTCTTATCTATTAGGTATATTCTCAATTATATTGTTAAGAATGGTAACATTGTAATTACTTTCAAATCGTGTAGGATGCTTAAAAATTTCTATTTTTTTTTTACTTAGCTTCTCCTAGTCCCATCTTGTGGGTCTCTTCTTGTTTTGTTGGTTTGGCTAATTTGCCTCCCGGACCTTGTACAATTTTTTTTCGTTATTGTGTCTGTCTTTTTGAAAAAAAAAATTATAATAAAACCTTATCTATTAACACTCACACCATCTATTTTCGACTTACTTAGCTTCATTTCACTTCTCAATCATAAAAGCATAGTGCATGGTTGTTGAACTCATATATTAGTCCTTAGCTGTGAAGTTTTACTTTTATGTGATAGGAAATAGTGTTAAATCATAGACGAGATAACAAATTATGAGAAGCTACATGTAGAGCTGTAAACGAACCGAATGTTCGCGAATAAAAGCTCATTCGAGCTCGTTCGTGTTCGACAAAAGCTCGTTCCTTTGTTAATCGAGCCGAGTTCGAACAGAAAATTAGGCTCATTTAATAATCGTATGAACACGAGCTTGTTCATGAACGTTCGATTATGTTTAGCGAACACTAATTTAATATAATTTTATTTTTTTATATATTTACATAATATTTTTAATAAAAAATCTAAAATTTAATATAATTTTATTTATTTTTTATGTAATTATATAATATTCTTAATAAAAAAATCTAAAATATAAAAATATTTTTGTTTTATTCTTCTATTTTCGAGTTCGAACGAATAAATTTCGATTGATGAAACATATTTAAAAAGTTTGTTTATTAAATTATTCGAACACGAATGAATACAAACTTTGACGAAATGAACTCAAACACGATTTTAAACTCGAAAAATAAACGAACGAACACGAGCACTGTTCGAACGTAAACGAACACGAGCTCGAACAACCCAAACTCGATTCGATTTGGTTCGTTTACAGCGCTAGCTACATGCATGCCGGTGGATGAATTTTGCCATACCTCTCATGTCATTTATGTCATAAACTTCATGAACCTAGAGCATTTCCTTTGTTTTTGAAGCTGGAGGCTAACAGTGAGAATCTTTCTTCTGATGGTGCTTAAGCATGGTTGTTATAAGAAAACTTAGCCGAAAGAAGTGGTGTAAAGAGAAAATTCGGAGTTCTCACATGTGCAGTTGATTCAAGGGGAAAACAATAAGTAATAATCGAATTTCTCATACGAAGGTCCATCTCTAAGATACAACAGTAGAACATACTCTCGTCATATTACAAATCGAACTCTAGATGTCAAAGACTCGTATTGATAACATGTTATAAAATTAGAGGGAAAGAAAGACAATAGAGAGACTGTATTCTCTTTGTACGATTTTCATTACAACTGAATTTATACGAAAACTTTTAATATTAAAATCATTATAATACAATCTATCTATATCTATATAAAAAGGTTGTTGGAAAAATACTTAAATAGAAAGTTTGACTTTTTAATTAAATAATTTGACTTTCTATTTAAGGAAATATTTTGAAAAACATGTGACCCATCTATTTAGGATCATTTGTTTGTAAATGTAGTTAAAAAAAAAAGAGATATTGTTAGAATTTTCCTATTTACTTGCTATGTTTTAGGAATTTATTTTTATTTATTTAAATATAAAGAGACAACCCAAATAATCTTAAAATAAAAATTTGTTAATAAATTCGGAAATTGCGTTTTCTGTTCACATTCTCGATGAGATTTTTTTGTTAATTTGTTTGTAAGATAAATCATTCATTTTTAATTGACATTCGATTAATTCCGTACAATATGGAATGATAAATATGTTAACAAGAATCATACGTAAATCACGAATCATTCAATAGTCACATTTTTATTTTATAAATACACATAAAAGAAAGTGATAATCACATATGATACATTCAATATTTTATTTAATATTGCCATCCGTAACATTCCTGATTTTATGGAATGATAAGATTTGTTCACCCATAAGACTTATCTGTTGTTAATTTATTTTTTATTTTTTTAAAAAGAGTGGTTTATACTAAAAAATCGGTTTCATTTGGAACTGATTTGATTCGATCACATCTCGTGCTATATATTGGACGATTTTAGAACTATTGACAATGAAT